ATGCACAAAGAATCTATAAAAGTTTTAAAAAGTGCAAGTGAAACCCTGAAATACATGGATTGTCTGGAGACATTTACTAGTATGTCTGAGCAGGGGGGATGTCAGAGATCTTCAAAGACTTGAGATTACAACCTGTGGTGGTTTGAAAGAAAATGGCCCCCAAAGGGAGTGGCTCTACTAGGAGGTGTGGACTTGTTGGAATATGGAGGAAGTGTGTCACTGCAGAGGCAGGCTTTGAGGTCTCATATATGCTCAAGATACTTCTCAGTGTCTCAGACTATTTTCTGTTGCCTGCCTATCAAGATGTAGAACTCTCAGCTTCAACACCAGGCCTGCCTGTGGCCGCCATGTTACAATTAAATGTTTTCTTTTATAAGAGTTATGGTGGTGGTCATGGTGTTTCTTCATGGCAGTAAGCAGTCTAAGTCACATCCCTGAGGAAGCACTCCTACTTCATCCTCTACAATGCTCAGTGACACTGAAACAGAGAATGTTGCAGTCTTAAACACAGATGCTCATTGCGTGCTAGATGGTAATAGACCGTGATCCCCCTGCACTGGTTTAAAAATTGGTGAAGCCGAGCTACAGAAAAGGCTAAAGCTATTTCCTTCATTTAATACTTAAACAGAATACACCAAAAACCTTGTGCCCATCCTACATTGATAAGAAAAATAAATGATATCAATAAAAGAAAGTTAACAAAATAAAGGGCACTCTCTATTCAAAAGGTGTTTAGTTGATAGCCCACTCTAGATTTGTATATTTTAGCCTTCCAAATGTTTTTTGAAAGATCCAGGAATGACACTGACCTTGGATGACTTATGCCATTTGATTAACTTTCTTTAGGTTTTCTGCCCTACCCAGGCCCGGGAAAGTCACTTATATATACTATTTTGACAACAAGCAATTCTGGATCAAACACCATAATTATCATTTTAATCATTTTACAATACTATTTAGGTACGTTTCTCAGAAAACACCACAAAATATTTTAATTATCAAATTAAGATTTCTCATACTCCTTTTATTAGAAAGACAAAGTTGCCAAAATATTTTTTCAGTGGACCGTTTCTATGTGTTTTTGAGCTAGAAACTTAAATGCTTTTGGACCCTAGAATGCAGGAAGCCTAGAAAAGATTCAAAACAATGTTGAGTTTACAATCTAAGCAGAAAGCTCCAACTCAGTTTCTCTCAGGATGGAGAGTAAGAGCTGTCACGGCTGATATTTTAGCACACTGAGAGCTAACAGCCAAGTTTCTTTCTTGGAGGGAGATTTTTTTCACACTGGTGCAGGTTTAGAGAAAAATAATATTTATTTTCAATTTGCTTGGCTTAAGGTTTCCTTCCTTTCCTTCCAATCTTTAAACACATCAGTATAACTTTCTGCTCCTGCAATGGGGGGCTGGGGCATGTAAGGACAAGGTGTTTGTATTAGATTTAAATGTGGTTTATTTGCTTAGTAGTTTAGAAAGTTGTGAGAGTGAGTCCAAGGTCATGGGTTTGACTCTCCCATGGAGCTTCAATTTTCCCCTTTTTGCCTTTGAAAGAGACACCAAGGAAATTGACTATTAGACAAATTTTACTTGATTGAAGAAAGCCATAGAAACTCAAGTTAAAAGATACTACCTTAATGTTTTTGAAAGCTAAAAGGGTGACGTGGTGATCAAAGAGAACTGTGTGGGCCCAGTACAGCTCAAGGATGCTTGGAGGAGTGCCAGGGGGGAAGGGTGAACAGAGCACAAGGCAAAGAGCCTCATTGGCTGCCTGTATCTTGCCTAAGGGAATATTTCTGATGGGATCGTGGCAAACCCTTTCAGAACATGGCAGAGCAAGAGCACCAGCTTGAGATCCAGTATTCAATTTTTGTAAGTAAGACAGTTAGGAAAGAAGAACAGAAAGGAAATTCTATAATAGGTGCTCAATTATTACTATAGTTTTGAAAAAGAGCATGGACTGTGCCTCTGGAGTTACAATCACATTTTATATATGTCTGTCACTCTGATTCCTCTCTGCCTCTTTTCCAAGGACATCATAAGTAATACAGCTATAAAATCAGTCAAAGTGCAATAGTCTAGGCCACTTAAATATCCCACATCTGTACATATCCTAAATCTTGTCAAGAAGTACATTAGTAATAGGTACTAAAATTTAAAACTGAAACAAAACTCATACTACCATTTCATAACGCTTATCAAAAGCCATAATTCTAATTTCATGAAGTTGGGGACAAATAGCAATCATCATGGGAGGTATGAGTTTTCTGGCTCCTTATGTGAGCTTTACTACCCCTGTCTGCTGTGAGAGTCCATCCTGTTGCTCTTGGTCTCTGAGGATGCATTTCTTATCCAGGATGCTTTGAGGTTGTGGAATTTTGATTTTCTCCTCCCAGTGTTTATAACTTCCATTTGAACCCAGCCATGGATTTATATTCCCCCAAGTAACTTCAGAGGCAACAGGCTTGTCCATAACAAGCCATAGTATCATGTAAGAAGCTTATATGCTAAACTCAACTCTTATTAATATAAACACATCATTGCCCTCCCCAAGGTCACCCTGATTCCTCAGTTGTGCAAGGAAGATGGAGAAAAGAGATGAATCATGCCTGATGCTTTCTAGGCTACACAGACACATGTCTAAGATCTACATTTGATCCATATGGAAATAAAAATTACTATCTTTTCCAATTGCCATTCATAATCCCCTCCAGCCCATACCTCATGATGGGCTATACCTCATGTCTGGCAAGAGACACAAAATGAAAGATCTGTCTGAGGGGTCTGCTTACTTACTATTCGAAGATTTTTCTTGGGCATCTTAAACAGTATTGTTTTAGTCTGTTTGAAATTAGACAACTTGAAATCTGTATTCTGTAGCACAGAACACTCATGAGCCTCTAGTACAAATGTTCTTTCTTACAAATAGAAAGATATATGTGTGAGTGTCTTGCCTGTATTTACATATGTGTACCACGTGTGTGACTCCTGAGGAGTTCAGAGGAGTATATGGGCTCTCCTGGAACTGGAGCTTCAAGTAATTATGAGCCACTATGTCAGTGATGATACCTGAACATTGGTCAACTGCAAGAGAAGCAAATGTTCTTAACTGCTACTCTACCTTTGCAGCCTACACATATGCCTTATTAGCAGTCTGGTGTCTGGAGAACAGTATGTGAGGTCCTGTATCAATGGATTACATAAGCACTAATAGTGCTATATGTCCTACTGGTTACAAAGATGAAAGTGAAGTGTTCAAAGCTAAGGGTATTTATGGGTTATCCTTGAACATGCCTAATTAATATGCATACAGATTAGAACTGTGGTTGAGGGTTGATGAGAGGGTAGGAGAAACAGTCAAAGGTGTGAAGTTGTAGTTATAGAGGATGAATCTAGAGATGAGGAATACAATCAGGACATACTAGCACATTTGCTAAAATACTAGATTTTAAATACTTTTACTAAAAATAGTGAGAAACTATATGAGATAATAGACATACTAATTAGTGTGATTGCAATAAGTTCACTATGTATGATCTATTAATATACCATATTTATGCTATTTTAACATATTTATAAACTATATTAAAAGATGTTAAAATATCAGATAGAATATCTAATCATCAAGGGAAGATTATGCACTATTAACCAGAAGTGACTAGAAATTGATAGCCCCAGAAAGAACCAACTACAAGATCATTACACTTGTTCCCATCTCCTAGTGAAACAGTTTATCTGTGAAGAGACAGTAAGAGCAAGGGATTATTATGATGGATCCACTCACATCTTAGAACAAATAGATACAAAAAGAGGAGTATATAACAATGCACTTTTTTGTTTTTGTTTTGTTTTTTTTTGAGACAGGGTTTGTTTTGGCCTGTCCTGGAACTTGCTCTGTAGACCAGGCTGGCTTCAAACTCACAGAGATCCACCCCCCTCTGCCTCCCGAATGCTGGGATTAAAGGCATGTGCCACCCACGCCTGGCAACAATGCGCTTCTAATGAATTACCTTTTTTAAGAAAGTGTTCCTTAAAATAAATCTCAAACTTGTTTTGTTTTGTCCGTTTGTTTGTTTTGTTTTTTTGAGACATCATTTTTTTGTGTAGCCTTGACTGTCCTGGAACTCACTTTGTAGACCAGAGACGAGCCTCCCTCTGCTTTCTGAGTGCTGGTATTAGTGGTGTACACCACCACCACCTGGTTCCAACTATTTTTTGATAGTCATCATTGGAGTCAATAAAATGTAGCTTATATGTTATCTAGTAGGAGCCTTTCTGAGTACTATTAAAGAGAATTTATGTATAATATTTTGAATCCCTTTTTCATTTTATGGAGTTTGGTTTTTTGTTTTCGTTATTGTTGTTTTTGAATTCGGGTTACACTGTGAAGCCTAGGCTCTCCTGGAATTCACTTTGTAGCCCATGCTGGCTTCAAACATGCATTACTCCTGATTCAGCTTCCCAAGTGCTCAGTGACATCTACTACCATGCTTATCTTTCTAGGATTTTATTTAGGAAGAATGGTTTTATAGATATGGTTGTCTCCACACCTTGTAAGTATTACACATAATCTTGAGCTGTAGGAGGGTGCAATGACTCTGGGCAAGGACAGTAGCATCGGAGCCTCGAGCCCCAGGAGGGGTCAGAAGTACCTTGTGTATGGTGCATTTCCTTAGTATCCTCACACATTTGAGAGACTTCATGGTGATGTTGTCACAGTACTGAACACATCGCTGGAGAAGAACAGGATCTGCTCAGTCAGAGGACTCAGTGAAACAAAGAGACGTTCTCCCTGTCTCTTTAGGATGCTATGTGTGTGTTATCCAGTTCTGACTCTAGATGTTGGTTCTAGAAAGCTTTGCTTGTCTTTTCGTCCTAGAGAAATACTATTTAATGCTGCAACTATAACAATGATTTCCTCTGGGAAGTGAGCTAGGAATTAACTTGAAAAACCTCTCCTGGATGTTTAAAAAGTGATGTTTTATTTTTTTTCCTTGTTTTCCACAGGCAGTACACTCTGTTATGATTCCCAATAGAGATGAAATGCAGTCTGAAGCCAGAGCAGAGAAAGACGGCTGAAAATTCATGTAATATTTGTATCAAGTACGCCATGAATCATGAAATGCAACACTACTGCAGGGCTTCTTGAAGAATCTGTACTCAGGAGTTATTGACATTTATATAATCACGCGCTGCAATGTGTTTTTCTGAAAAACAAACTTTACCTAGAGTTCTGAAAATTATCCGCAATTTGTACGGAGGAATTCAAACATCAAATTGGTACATTAGCCACATGGCATGGGCCTCCAACTCCAGGACAGCATGTTCCATGAGACTCTCTGGAAAATAAAAAAGCATTTAAAAAACCTTTTATTTATTTTTTATTGAAAACACCATTTTTTAGGGCAAAAGGTCACTGGATTGAACATAGATAAGCAAATACCCCAATTAATAAAATTACTTTCTCAATATAATGTTTCTTGACCTGTTTGTCCCTATAATTTTGAAAGAATGGAAGCCAAGATGTAAAAGCCAATGTAAACACCAGTCATCAATGGAGTTATTCAGATGGAACTTCTGGTCACTTTTAAATGTGCAATAACTGAAAAAAAATTACTTTAGTCTGCCTCTTAGGAGCTATTTAGAACTTTCTCATTCTTCCCCATTTATCTAGACTCCAAGCTTATGAATAAACAACTTTTAAAATATTAAGAGTATATTTAGTTAATGAACAGCTTAAGTAAAAACTATGCTTCATAGTATATGAGTATGTGTGACTGGACAGAAACAGTATTGGGGAGTTTATGAAGAAAACATCTGTTTAGAATTTAAAGTTTTCTTTCCAACCATATTTTATAGTTTACATTTTTTCGTTGAAAACAATTATCAGGGTAAATATTTATTTTAGGCTCTTTTGTGCATAGCTTGTATGCATGAATTTGGTGCATTAAAATGTTTGCTCCTCATATTAACTATTAACATTGAAATATAAATAATTTTTATCTTTATCCCATGGTCTAATACATATGCTTTTCTTGATAAAATAAAAGTAAAAAGATCTAATCATGTGCTATCTCTATTAGTATGGTAATTATCTCAATACATTTCTATCATATATCATAGCTCAGGACATTTCTTTCCCCAACATTGCAAAAGTGAATTCAGTAATGATTCAGTTCATTTTCAAAGAGACACAAAGGTTACAGTCATAAGTCGTGCTTCTTCATAAAACATCTTTACCCTCATATTATCTAAGCTAAACCCAAACACATAACTGAAAATAAAGGGTCTCAGAATAATTGTAGTTCTCATGTCATCTGCTTCCATGGTGAAACCATTGGTTACCAAGAAAAGAAAAGGGCAATTCCTCAGAGGAACAAGGTACTGAGGTCAAGTTGAGCTCTGTCCTGACAGCTAGAAACAGTGTTTATGAGTTCAAAAACTGTGTCAACCTTACAACCTTGAGTTGTAAGTCTAAACAGCTGAGGAAAAGATAATTCAATAATCTTTTCCTTTCCCTCTTTTGGTTGGTCAAAATATGTGTAAGAAGCAAGTACCACTAAATGATGCTATTCTCTGATGGGTAGTAAGGTACAGGTACATATATCAAGCTACAGGATTGTATATTTGTATTCAGCTTAATTTATCTATCTATCTGTCTATCTATCTATCTTCCCACATACTTATTTATCATCTATCAATCATCTGTCTATCCATCTATAATCTATGTATACCAATAAAATAGAATATCCAATTGTGTACTATTACATAGTAATAGCTTTTACAATGTTTAATATGATTTATAACATCTGTGCAATATACTGTTACTATGTAGTAGTTTGTACATCATGTTTTATGTGCAAAAAATCTGGGGAATTTTCTCCTAGTGTCTTTACAAATCCATTTAGTGCCACAGTTACATCAATTGCCAGTTTATTCTTAGGGTACCTTCAGTGTTATGAGCCTCCTTTGTTCAGATTTATTGTATACCTGGCATATAAAAGGAGAAAAGTATGTGCTGTTTGACACATACTAACTAAGTTGGTACTTAAATAGTATTATACAGACATCTAACATTTAATATATCATATCACACATATGTATATATGAGTATGTTAAAGAGAGCATGAAATAGCTATTTCAAGTATTGATAAAAGAATAATTCAGCAGAAAAATTGATGATAAAATTAACGCAAAAGCCTACAATTTGAAAATAAAGAGTAGAAGATTTTTTTAAAAATCTTTTTAAAATCAGTGTGACAACATGTAAGTATTGTTTAGTAGGAATTTCAAAGAGAATACATGGCAGGATTATTAAGTAAATAATAAATCAATATCTAGAAGTCAAGGGCAGGAAGCCTCAGATCAAAAAGGCTACTGAATGTTTAGAACAATGAACTTAAGTAAGAAAAGAAAAGGAAATGGCCCATAGGACTCATGTCACAGTAAGAAGCAGTTGGTGAAGGAGGTACCTAGCACAGGCATAGAATAGATGTCTGTGCATGATACCAAGGTTCTCACAGTTGAAATACCCATCACTATCCGGCCCAAATATTGCAGAAGACAGTGAGCCTATGATCATGAGACCTTCTGGCCTTGCAGATTCCTCATTCTGTGCAGTTATAGAGAAGACCAAGTTCTGGGTTAGTTTCCATGACAGAACATGTTCTCATCAGAGAGTCAAGCTAACAGGAATCTTTGCTTTGTGTGCCTTTCCTGCTTTGCCATTCATAGTGAACAAATAGTAAAACTGACTAGCTAAATTTGCTAATCCTCAGTACTAGACTAAAACTTATGATTAAGACAAGCTTTAGACAAATCAGAAACTTTGAAGTGTAGCCAGAAAAATTACATATATTTTCATCCTAAGGATTAAAGGCAATCATGTACAGAGGGTTGGGTTGGCAGAGAACTCCCCAAGTAGCACCTAAAACTAAAAGTACCAAAGGAAAGGAAGCTCTCATAAGCCCAAGGGAAAATGAGTACTGAACCACACTGTTAATGCAAGAGATGTAACTGAGCACAGATCTAAGATGAGAAGTTCATGCTTTTTCTGAAGAAGGTGGTTCATCCCACCACGATGTAGAGATAAAGCAGAACCACCATGAGATCCCCAAGGTCCAAGGTAGAAGACACAAAGGACCCTCCCTACCTGGTGGTGACAAACTCAAGATGTTCTGTAGCTCTGGACCACGATAGAGAAAGAGGAATTCAACTTTTGGCATAGTTTGGTTTTGTAAAATTAGTAACATATCCAATGATTGGTCAGTTGTAACATATATCAGAATAGAGGTGGGCAGAAAATGTTATTACAGTATGATATTAGCCTCAGTCGCAAACCATCTTTACATGGGCATATAAATGATAATGTTGGGTTTTGGTTTTGTTTATTGGGCTTGGCTTAGGCCATAGTGCTAACACTTTATAGTATCAGTGCAATGCTAGCCATTCTTGGGTAGGCTCCATCATCCCTGGCATCTAGGATGAGATTTATCAAAATAAACATGTGTCATAGCAAGGTTCAGAGATGTTTATTCATCCCATGGTCCTACTTACAGCCATCTCCTGTCTGACTGGTTTTGTTTATCATCGGTTTCTTAGAATAAGATTTTTTTCCTCATTATCACAAGAGAAACGGAAGACAGTATGTGTTTATGGGGGGTACACTCTGAACTACTCTTCTAGTCCGTTCTTACTACTTTGTCACCCAACTTCATATGTTGGTGTCTAATCTTCCTCTTTGATTTTGCTTCCTCTTTCCTTTCAGGAACAGATAATCCCAAAGACCCTGTTTTCTTTTTTTGTTGTTGTTTATTTGTTCATTTTATTTATTTATTTATCTTGGTAAGACCCTGTGGTGGTCTGAATGAGAATGGTCCCCATAGGCTCATGTGTTTGTATGTTTGGTCCCAGTTTGTGTATTGTTTAGGAAGTTTGAGGAGGTGTGATATTATTGGAGGAGATGTGTCAACTTCAGGTTGGACTTTGATGTTTCAAAATCCCAGGCCAGGCCCAGCGGTGCTCTCTTTTTCTGTATCCATCTTGTGCATAGATGCAAACTCTCAGCTACTGATCCAGCACCATGCCTGCTTGCCTGCCTGCCACCATACTGCCTGCCATGATGGTCATAGACTAACCCTCTGAAACTGTAAGGAAGCCCCCAATTAAATGCCTTCCTTGTCTAAAATCCATATATGAGAGAGTACATGCCATGTTTCTCTTTTTGTGACTGGGTTACCTCACTCAGGATGGTTTCTTCTAGTGTCATCCATTTGCCTGCGAATCTCATGATTCCATTTTTTTTTCTGCTGAATAGTACTCCATTGTGTAGATGTACCACATTTTCTCTATCCACTCTTCGGGTGAGGGACATCTAGGTTGCTTCCAAGTTCTGGCTATTACAAATAAAGCTGCTATGAACATAGTGGAACAGACATCTTTGTTGTATGAATGGGCATCTTTTGGATATATGCCTAAGAGTGGAGTTGCTGGGTCTTGTGGTAGGTTTATTCCCATTTTTCTGAGGAATCTCCATACTGATTTCCAAAGTGGCTGAACCAGTTGGCAGTCCCACCAGCAATGGAGGAGTGTCCCCCTTTCACCACATCCTCTCCAGCATAAATTGTCATTGGTGTTTTTGATTTTAGCCATTCTGACAGGAGTGAGATGGTATCTCAGAGTTGTTTTGATTTGCATTTCCCGGATGGCTAAGGATGTTGAGCACTTTCTCAAGTGCCTCTCAGCCATTTTAGACTCCTCTATTGAAAACTCTCTATTTAGTTCTGCAGCCCACTTTTTAATTGGGTCCTTTGATGTTTTGGAGACTTGCTTCTTGAGTTCTTTGTAAATTTTGGAGATCAACCCTCTGTCAGATGTGGGATTAGTGAATATTTTTTCCCATTCTGTGGGCTGCCTTTTTGTCTTGCTGACTGTGTCCTTTGCCTTACAGAAGCTTCTCAGTTTCAGTAGGTCCCATTTATTAATTGTTGATCTCACTGTCTGTGCTACTGGTGTTATGTTCAGGAAAAAAAAATAAATGCCTTCCTTTGTAAGTTACCTTGGTCCTGGTGTCTCTTCACAGCAATAGAGTAATAACTAGGACAGCTTCAACCATGTTTCTGTTTTGCTTGATAAAGATCATAATGTCAAACCACACTGGCAGTTTATTTGGATGTAGATGTAACTGACTGAAATTGAGGAGTGATGTGGGGATCCAATGTGACCTGGTGTTATCAGCCCATGGTATGCTCTGTGTGTGTATGTGTTCTATATACTTGCTAATGTGTGTATGTATATATATGTGCACATGACAGTATGTATGGATGTGTTTGCATCTGTGTGTGGAGGCTAGTGGTTAATGTCAGCTTTCTTTCCTCAACCACCCTCTTTTTTTTTGAGACAGGGTCTTTCACTGTACTAGCTAGTCTGGCTGTCCACTGAACTACAGTCATCTGACCTCTGTCTTCCACTC